CCCTGGAAGGGGCTGCCCAGGGAAGTGGTGGGGTCACCATCCCTGGAGGGATTTAAAAGCATTATAGATGTGGTGCTTAGGGACACGGTTTAGTGGTGGGCTGTGGCCATGCTAGGTTAACGGTTGGACTCGATGCTTTTAAAGGTCTTTTCCAACCTAAACGATTCTGTGATTCCTGGCCATGCCCATCACGCTGCGGGGGCTGCTGGGGGGTGCGGGGGGCCCCATGGCTGCACCACCCCAGGCAAGCACAGCTCTGCCGGATGAGACCTTCAGCTCCTTTGGAGGCCACCATCAGCCACCAACCATGCCCATGGCCTACCGGTAACAGAGCAAGATGTAACAGGAGCTGTGGCTTTGGGAAGGGAGTATAAGAGCTCTCCTTCAGCAAGGAGTTAATTGGTGTAGGAGGCTTTGAAAGCCACAAGGCAAGGTGATCACCATGAAGGTCTGATTTCAGGATTAGTTATGCAAGAGTCATCCATGGTTGTTGCATAGACAAGGTTATTAAGAAACTAATGCGGGAGTGCACAAAGGTTAGGCAGGCATGATTATTGTCCTCGGAAACCAGGGAGCATTCAAGCATGACTTGGGCATTTAGAAAGAGCCTGGAGATAGCTCAGCGCCCTACAACCAGCCTCAGATCGTTCAGTTGTTTTCCCTCTGTCTTGCAGGAAGAACAAAGTCTTTGAATTTGTTTCTGAGCATCATCTGAACTTCCCAGGAGAGCTGCTCAGCAAAGTCAGCGGAGAGAATATATTTAAAGGTGAAAATGTGGTGGTGAGTGCGAATCTCGGGGCCGGAGGGGATCCCTCCCTGAGTGGCTGGGGAAGAGGGGGGGGGGGAAGTGGCTCTTGTTGGGTGGCGCCACACGGCGACAACCAGTGCCCTCTCCTGCAGCACAGCTGCCGAGTTCCCGTTCACGGGTCACAGCTTTTCCCATTTCTACAGTCAGGAGTAACTTAGGGAGCAATGGGATTATGAAATCCAGCAAAACTGGATCTTTTTCCATCTGCAACCACTGGGCGATGGCCCCTTTGCTCCTCCCTGCGAGGGCATGGGGGCCAGGGAGCGCTCAGGCTGGAACAGCAAAGCTTTGGCAGGAGCCGGGGTTCCCGCAGGTGACCGTGTGGTCTGACGACACCAGGACCAAGGCAACGCGGTGCCTTCGGGCCATTGCCCCTAGGTAGTGCAGAGCATCCTTCGCTTCCTCTGAGAAACCGAGAGGTGTTGGGTTTTCTGCCTGACAAAAGGCGACCGACCCGTGCTGCAGCGGTCAGCGCTCAGCCGCTCCAGGTTACTTTTGGTGGCCATTGCCAGACGAGCAGAAATCCCACCCCAGAGCCATTCTCCGCAGCTCTCCAGCAATAGCAGGAGCCATCCAGCAGCACATCCATCCCTGGGGCGCCTGATATTTCCTCTTGCACATTTTTCGCTGCGTGCACAGCCATCGGCTTCAGGCTTTGCAGGGAGAGGGCATGGGACGGCGGCTCTTGCCCCTTGCTGGAGTACCTACGTGGCTTTGCCATCAACCAACAAACCCACTGCCTGCAGAGCTGCCGGGAGATCATCCCGCAGGCAGGAGCTGATCCTGCCAGCTTTGGACCCAGGATCCAGGGGTGCTGCTGCTGGTCGGGGATGCTTGCTGGGCTGCCGTGGGGACCTGTGGGTGCAGAGCCCTTAAACAAGATGTCCACCAAGGCTGGACATCTCTTCTCCTCCAGCTCCTGCGGTACAGGGCTGCCAGAGGGAATCTGCCTCCGTGTAACTGCAAAAGTCTGGGGCAAAACAGTCCGAAAACGGCTGAAGCACAGCGCTCTCCTACAGCCAATGCCAGTTCTGTACTGCTCAGGCCTCAGCTGGGTTGTTTTTTTTCCCCCCATGCAAACGAGTGAGGATTTAACTGTGCCTTTTTACTATTTGTTAGCTGTTTTGCAGTAACCTGTAGAAACTTCAGTCGTGTACCAGGGCTGGAAGCTAGGCACCACCCAAGCACGGACCAGCTCTCCCCAGAGAGCTATTACTCAGTGCCATGCATCTGTGGTGAAGACTTTGCATCTGGTGTTGCAGACGCCCTTTGGGATTTGAATGATGCTTTAGCATCTGAGTCACTCTCCAACAAATGCTTTAGCTCTGAAGTCCTATGGGCGTTAAAATCAGCGGGCCTCTCGCATAAACGGCTATCCCTCCTGGCTACGCAAGAAGTAGCTGCAGTCATGACTAGTTCTGCTTTGCCCACAAGCCCCGTATTTCTTCTGTAAATCGTCCACATGCTGAGGGAAAACAGAGAGGCTTTAAAAAAACCCTTTCAAATTTAACAGTGCTGCGCTGCTGGAAGGTGACAGTGAATCCTGTTGGGGCACGGAGTCACCCAGCGCCAGTTTTTAACCAAACCTGCCAGCCTGGGGACCGCAGCCTCTCCCTGTGCTGTCCTGCTCCCCCCCTGCCTGAGGGGGCACGGTCCCTGTTTTGGACTCTTCTGCCTGTTGCTGGGGCAGGATGGAGGTGCCTTTGGGACTTTCAGCATAGCATTTATTCTGCGTTTTTGCATTATATGCCCATTATATGCCGGTAATGGGTGAAATGAATATATTTGTGCCAGACAAATAGGGTCTCTCTTTTGCGCGGTTGGGTTTATTTCTTGCAGGTGTACCCCATCATCGACTTCCCCGATCCCGAGATCTCCCTGGCCTCGCAGCGAGCCATCGCAGAGCACAGCACGGCGTTTGCCACGTCCTCCCGCATCCTCCGGCAGGTGAGGGGGGAGCCTGGAGCGGAGCCGCCCCTGTGCCGGGGGACGTCAGCTAATGACGGTTCATTAGTGAGCTTGGGTAGACACAATGAGATGTTGAGAAGAGTAACCCATCTCATATTTTATTTAGAGGTGATCTTTAGCAAACGAAAAAAAATTCTAATTATCAAAGAAATCTTAATTATCAAGCAAAATACCAGGGAAATAATTTTCCAGACGTCTATTGAAAGATGTAGGAGACTGTGGTTATTATTGTTCCTTTTACCTTTTCAAAGCCCTGGCAAATGTTATTTATTACCACTATTTTTATCTTAGAAGCTAATTTTGAATAAACATTAGGATTCCACTCCATCTGATTCTCACTAGAGTGTTGCAATCTCTGTTGCCGCTATTATAAATCTGATTGCAAATGCAAAAGTTTAGCTAGAACATACTGTCTTTTCACCCACAGGAAAGAGAAGGTTTCACATTAAAAATGCAAGTAAACTGAAAGACCAAAATAAACTTAAAGGGAGATGGTTTGATTTTCCATGTGGTCTGTCAAAACTAGCTCTTTGGCAAATTTCTGTCTTCCAACTTAATTCCAGCCTGTAATTTCCACTTCTCAGCATCAAAGGCAGTTTGTTCACTAGGTTGCTGCGCACCAGCCAAAGCATCCTCTGAGCTGTATGGGAAAGCAGGTGCTGAAAACCTCCCGCCCTGCCAAATCCCCGGCGCCACGTGGTGTGTGCGCCGAGCTGGGCTGCCTTCTGCCGGCGCTTTCCCCACCGTTGAATTTTTCATCCCCTTCGCTTGTCGTCGGCTGAAGTTCTTCCGCTTAATAATCAGCACCTCTTGGAGAAAGCTGGGGGGG